AAAGGTTTGAGATCATGTCTTGGTCAAAAGTCAAAGGTACAGTTGACTTTTCCTCAAAAACCCTAGTTTGTGGTTCATATGAATTTGAATCCTTGCATTGCTTATGAATCATGTTTTTTGGACCAATCGAATCATATGAATGGATTAATATGAGGAATTTGATGTCCTTGACACATATCTTGAGGTATTGGATCATGCCTTACTCCAAAAGTCAACCCAGAGACTGAATTAGGTCAAAACCCTAATTTTGGTGCACTGAGGATCTTGATGCTTGATGAGCTTGTCATGATAAAATCTTGCACTTGATTATGGATGAATGAAAGCTCTTGATTCTCATGAATGATTACGGGAATTGAGATGTTGGGTATGATTCCCATCTTTTGATAATCATCTATTTAAGCCTTTGAGGGGTCATCTTACCTATAAAACAAAACAAGCACACACACATCTTGTACTTATCATGAGTTAGTGATGCATAAAGACACACATATGTGTTATGTGAATGAGGTGAATGAAGTGGCATCTTAGGGGTAAAAAATTAGGGTATGACATATGCCTCTATTTAACTTTCTCTTATTCGGAGAGATGAAGATTGACATCTTAGTCTCGACCAGATAAGGGAGGCTTAAATATAACAATGCACAATTTTGGCCCTTAAAAATCCACAAAGGGTGATATGAATGCACCTATGAATGCAAGATATTAGACACGTGGGAAATGATAACATAGGAGACTGAGAACAGACTAAACTGTTGGGGGAATAACAAAAGAATTACTCACCGAGGAGAGAAAAAATGAGGAAAATGTTGTAACTCTATCGAGAGAGAGATAGAAATTCCACTAAGGAAAAGAGTACGACTTCACAGGGGATAAGATTATAACTCTGACAATTGAGTTTCCAATGTTGGAAAATGATTCAACATCTTCTTTATCTAAGTAGCATTAATTAGAATAGGGAAAAAATAAACTTCCCCATGTTTCCGAGCATAAGCCACGAAACTGGTCTCGATTTCTAAAATAAACTTTCCCTCATTTCTGGACATAAGCCACGAAACTGGTCTCGATTTCTAAAATAAACTTCCCCTCAATTTTGGACATAAGCCACGAAACTAGTCTTAGCTTCTTATTTTTCTTGAAAAGAGTAAACAGACAAGCTTCTAAAAGGTGATCGCTTCTTAAGTTAATAACTTCATCGAGGATCTTTAAAAAGATGCAGGTTAGTTAATTTTGCAAGACAAATTTCTCAAATAAAGAAAGAAAAAAAAACTTCTAGTAAGGATCTTCATCAAACTTCTAACAAGGATTCACTAGGGAGATGCCATTTAATTGAAAATAAACTTCATCATACTTCTCTTCGAGACTTGTTTGGAGAGATGCCATGTGCTGAGAGAAAATTGATAGCAGACTTACTGGGGAAATACCAATAGCTGTAATTTTGTTTTTTATTGAGCAGAAAAAATTACTTGTAGTAATTTATCTCCCATAAACACTTATGACAATCTTTAATAAGTTTCTCTAACAGAATCTTTCGGAGAGATAACCATTTCTTCATTATACTTCTCTTCGAGACTTCTTCGGAGAGATGTCATGTGATGTAAAAATGAGAATTCGATAATCAAACTTTTCTTTATAGATGGTGTTTGTTGGAAAAATATTTTCATCATACTTTCCTTTGAGACTTCTTTTGAGAGATGCCATAAGGTGAATGGAAATTTGGTATGCTGATAGCTTTAACAAGGATAGAAAAACTGCTCCGAAAGAGATTGTCATTCGCCGATTCACTGGGAAATTCAGGGATAGAAATAAGCTTCTCAAATAAAGAGATTGCCATTTGTTGTCAGGAGTAGATTATAAGGCGGAATAAATTTATCTTGTTGGGGAATCTTCAAAAGATTATTTTTGGGAACGTTGATCACTTAAAAGGCGCAAAATAAATGCCCATTTAATTTAGAGGTTCGAGTTATCAAAATGGTCAAAAGACCAACTCAATCCAAGAAAAAGCTGGAGAGATATCGTCAAACATGACACTAACCAGTAAGGAGTGTGCTCGAACTGGGGATTTATCCTATCCAAGTGTGGAAAGGAGAACTAAACTGAAACTTCCATGACAATTATACTCAGTGGGGAATTAGAGAGAGTATGCACTTTCTGCATGCGGCTAACCACTCTATTGGGGATAGGAGACATAACACTTGGGGATAAACACAACATATATCATCAATAAATGCAATATGCACATGGATATGAATATGAATTCAAATATGCATGGTTTACGTATGATATGGATGTATGTTATGTTTTTTTGCTGACAAAACATGTGAAAGGGACATACCGGCAACAAAATAAACATCACAATGTGGCCGGATACTCAGCCAGTCATCTGAACATGTCATTGGAGATAAAACGAAGAGAGCCATCACTGGGTCAAAGTCCTACTGTAAAGCTTAAGTCTTGTTTCCTTTCTTGTAAGAATTTAAATAATTATCTTTATTTATTATGTGAGATTATTCTAAATATTCGTTTATATTATGTTAGAGCTATACAAATATTTCGATCACAAAGACAAGCAAGAGTACCAAAGAATAAGGCTAACAACTTTAGATGGATCAGAGTGTAGGTATATTTTCACAATTTTGATTGTTATAGAAATTCTACTTGATAAAATAGTTAAACTATATATCCTGATATATATTCTTTTTTTTTCATGTGAAGTGTCCTCGTCAGTGCAATGGTATTGATTGCGGTTATTTTGTATTGAGGTTTATGAAGGAAATTATTCATTCGGGTCAAATAAAGATTCCAAACATGGTATGGATTTATAAGTTATATGATTTATTTTAATATTTAACCGATATTTCATCTGAGTAATTAGTTTTAACTAAATCATGCATATATGTTATATTATGTAGTACTTTGATGAATTCAAGTGCGATACTTACTCGAAAGATAAATTGGAAGAAATTAAGGAGGAATGGTGTCAATACATTCTTGAGATTAGAATTGTATAAGGTATATATGTTGTCTTTCTGTCTTTTGATCGGAGTTTATGGTCTTTAAAGATTTATGTTGTTGTGATGTTATGTACATGCTACTGGATAATTATAGTTCTGGAAGTCGTATATAGTTTTAGAATTTGTTGATATACTTCTAGAAGTTGTTGTGAGGATCCAGAAATATGAAATTTGTAATTATATGTATAGTGAATATATTTGTGAAGTTATCGATTTTGTAATATATTTTAGAATTACGGATCGTTTCTGTTGAATTATAATATATATATATATATATATATATATATATATATATATATATATATATATATATATATATATATATATATATATATATATATATATATATATATATATATATATATATATATATATATATATATATATATATATATATATATATATATATATATATATATATATATATATATATATATATATATATATATATATATATATATATATATATATATATATATATATATATATATATATATAAGGCCTATGTGTTGAAATAAAGTCTTATGTTGAATTACTATGATTATAAGCAGGTTTATGTGTTGAATTGTTATGGTATATATATAAGGCATAAGTGTTAAAATAAAGGTTTGTGTTGAATATAATTGTTATAAACAGGTTTATGTGATAAATTACAAAAAATTGTGCAACAGCATTCAACAAAAAAAAACTTCATAAAAATATGTACAATAGACAGCACTTTTACAAAAGAAAAACGCTAGGAAAAAATGATTTTTAAAAGGAAAAAATTCAATGACGTGTAGAAAAGGCAGTGCTTTTCTTGAAAAAGCGCTGCTAAAAGGGGAGAGGGGGAAGAGAGCAATTTTAAAAGCGTTGTTAAAAGGGAGGAAAAGAGAGCGTTTTTCTTAAGAAAAGCGCTGCTAGATGTCTTCGGCAAATATACTTTAGAGAGCGTTTTTAAAAGCGCTAATAAAGGGGGGGAGCGTTTTTAATGAAAAAGCGTTGTTAAAGGTATTAAAAAAATATACTTTAGAAAGCGCTGCTAAAAAGGGGGGTTGTAAAGAGAGTGCTCAGTGTTTTTTACTTTAAAAAAAACGCTGTATTTATTTACAGCGGCGCCACTTTAGACAATGCTTTTAATCGCTGTTAAAAGCTAAAAAAACGCTGCTAAAGATCTTTTTTGACATAGTGTTTCAAAAGTTTCTTCCATAAAATTTTTTTTATAAAAATATTAGAAAGGAAATAAACATTGAGAATATAATAGAACTGACCATTCCAAACAACCTAAACACAAAGATACCAGAAAGAGAAAACTGGTTGAAATAGAGAGCATTCCGTCTGATTACCCAAACGCACAAAAAACGACCGCGATATATCCTCCTGATTTCAAATCGATCCTACAAACTTTTTGTCAACAAAGCAACACTTCGTTTCTTGAAGCAAAATGAAATCAGACTTACTACACTTGATAAGATTATTGATTCTCCTTCTCTTAACAATACTGCCATGGTTTCCGAGTTTTTGACGCCTTTGAAAGTTAATGCAATGAACCAACACTTCGGTTTACGATGTGGTAAAATTGCAAATATTTTGTAAGTATTTCTTTTCTGTGTAATTTTAATTTATGAGGTAAAATAACTAATGAAAATATATTCGAGAAGGACTAATACATTTAATAATATAAATGACTAAATTACTAGGGTTGACTAGAAGTATTCTACTATCTAAACTATCAATTTCCTCAATTAGCAAGCAGACATAGCATTGACATACATAATAACTGCAGTGATTAATTTCATATCCTTCAATCTTTATTAATCAAAATCAATCAAGATCAACACATAATCACTCCCCATTTTAACGATAAGATTTAATTAATACAAATTAGCTCCTTCCCAACTACTAATTAATGGCTCCATATTGGTTCATCCATTCTTCCTTATTATAAATAGACCACACTTTCTTACTATTTTTCTCATCCTTCACTACCAAATAATACATTTGAGTACAATGGATTCAAAATTATCATTCCTCATCCTTGGCCTAATGGCCATGGTTCTTTTTATTTCCTCAGAGGTGTCAGCTAGGACATTAACTGAGACTTCCACTAATGCCAACAAAGAGGGTGAGCTAGCTATGATTATTTTTTATTTAATGTCCAAAATATGAGTACATATTTTTTTATTAAAATTTATATAAAATCGTAAGTGTCTTTTTCCTTGCGAGCTTTTATTGATATTGGGGATTTTTTTTCTTTCTTACATATAGAAACGAATAGATATCTATGCTCAAAATGTAAAAATTAGTTTAGGAATTAAATTAGCATATTGTTGTATTTGCAGAGGTTGTTGAAAAGTCAGATGAAGTAAATGATGCCAAGCATTTTGGTTATGGCGGCTATGGCGGCGGCTATGGTGGTAACGGAGGCTATGGTGGCGGCTATGGTGGTAACGGAGGCTATGGTGGAGGCTATGGTGGTTACCATGGAGGCTATGGTGGTTACCACGGTGGATATGGTGGATACCATGGTGGTGGTGGAGGTTACAATGGTGGATACGGTGGCTACCATGGCGGCGGTGGTGGTTACAATGGTGGATACGGTGGATACCATGGTGGTGGAGGTGGTTACAATGGTGGTTACCATGGTGGTGGATACGGTCATGGAGGAGGCTATGGTGGTGGTGGCGGTGGTGGAGGAGGTGGTGGAGGAGGCTATGGTGGTGGTGGAGGCGGTGGTGGAGGAGGCTACGGTGGCGGTGGTGGTGGCGGTGGTGGTTACATTGGTGGTGAGGTTGCCACAAATGGTAACTAATTATATCACCATGCATGCATGTTTTAAGTGTAATAAATTTCAAGACTAAATAATGTTGGGGATGAACAAAAGCGGTAATTTGCGGCTATGTATTATTTATCTTCCCACTAGATATTTCATATCTCTATTACTCGTTTGTAAAATCATTATCACTATGTATATATGTGGTAATGAGTACGATTTCGAACCAAATTTGTGATTGTGTGTAATACATCAAATATCATCGTTCTCTAAAGAAATTTACCGATTAAAAAATTATTTTCTTCTTCTGTAATTCGTTCCAGTGTTATAGCCATTCATAAATTATGCACCATATTGCAACAGTAAATGAATAAGTGGAAATTAAGTGTTGCAAACTCTCTTCTTCTCTAAAGCAAAATACACACACTCCTTCATGTCTATTAAGAATCACTCATCTCTTCATGAGCTCCATTCTTGTAGTATTCTATATTTAACATCAACTTCCATACAAAGGCTTCAATTTTTTATGGCACCTGTGCTTTCCGCACCATCTGAATTTCTTTTGATGTTTATACATCCTGTGATGTTCTTTCAACAACTTTCATATATAATTTGTAACAAGATCTACTTGTGAAAACACCATCTTGCATCCTAAAACCAAATAATTGCTCTTACATATCTACACCTAATTATATCCATTGGTCTTGCATAATTATAGGGTAGACTGTTATTTGCTTTGTTGTATATATAGTGAGGGTGTTAATCTCCTTTTGGAATAGTGATAATCAGTTTTATATTGTGATGGTGCTTGCACTTTGATATGGCATCAGAGACAAAAATATATCTTGTTATTATCCTTTCTTGCTACTTGGCCTTTATCTCTTTTCCCTTGCTACCACGTGTTTTACATCTTCCCTTTTCAGATTCCACACACTTCATTCTTTACTAATCTTTCTCTAACTTCTTCAAGAACACCTCTTGAAACTCTAACCTTTCTTTTCTCTCAAGAACACCTCTTGAAACCCTAACCTTTCATTTCTTTTCAGATTTCAAACCTTTCCTTCATACTATCGTTCATGGCAGATCAAAATTACCTTTACTTTGAGATGAATCCATCCAATCCATACTACATTCATCCGAATGAAAACCCAACCATAGTCCTTGTTTCCCCTTCGCTCGATAAAAAAAAATACCTTTCTTGGGCTATATCAATGAAGGTAGCTCTCATCTCTAAGAAAAAAAAATGTTTTATCGACGACACCTTCATAAAACCCAACATCAACAACGCTCTCCATGATTCGTGGAGTCACTGCACCAACCTTGTTCTATCATGGATTCAACGATCCGTCTCTGACAACATTGTGCAGTTTATCCTCTGGTTAGACAATGCTTCTATCGTTTGAAAAAACCTTCGTAATTGTTTCTCTGAAGGTGATATATTTCGTTACTTAGATCTTTAAGACAATCTTGTGCGTCTTCAATAGGGATCTGTCGATTTCACCACATATTACATTCAGCTAACCTCAATTTGAAAACAGATAGATACCTACTAGCCTACACGAGATTGTACATGCGCAGTCCTTTGCACTTGTTGAAAGATTAAATTTGATTTGGGTCTAAACATATTATTTATATTTTTGGGCTTTGTTATTTTGAACTTAGGTAATTTTAATTAATGTTTCTAGAAAACTCTTGTAATGTTTCTAGATATTTCTTAGGGTTGTAATATTCTCTAAAATGCTTTTGGAATTTCTAGAGTTGAGAACTCTCTAGAATTAGTGTGTCTAGAGTTCTCCTTAGAGTACTATAAATAGAGATGTAATTCTACACTTTTGCATCAAGCAAAATACAAAGTTCTCTCTTCCATAAATAATTCTTCTACCTATCAAGTTTCTTTTTAAGCCTTTAATATTGTCACCCACTTTTCCTAAACACAAAAGTTTTATTTCCAACAAAATGGTATTAGAGCCTGGTTACGATCCAGGGACCTGTGGGTTATGGGCCCACCATGCTTCCGGATTATAGAGCTTGAGTCGTAACCCACGAATACATACTTCTCACTTTTATCATCGAGCTTTGTTCTCCTTTCATCTAGAACGTGGGTATATGCAATGTTTCCAAACACTTTGAGGTGAGAGATCCCTGGCTTCCTTCCATACCATGCTTCTTGTGGTGTCTTCTTATGCACACTTCTTGTTGGGGAACGATTTGTCAGGTAAACTGCACATGCCACTGCTTCGGCCCAAAACTCTTTGGGCATCTTCTTACTTTTAAGCATGCTTCGCACCATATTAAGTATGGTCTGGTTCTTTCTCTCCACTACTCCATTTTGTTGCGGCGATCTTGGCACTATTAGTAAGCGGCGGATTCCATGCTCTTCACAATATTTGTTGAACTCATTTGAAGTAAACTCTCCTCCTCGGTCAGATCTCATAGCCTTAATAGAAAGACCACTTTCTTTCTCCACAAGGGCTTTGAACTTCTTAAAGTTTTCAAACACTTCTGACTTCTCCTTCAAGAAATAAACCCATGTTTTTCTAGAATAATCATCAATAAATAGGAGAAAGTATTTATTCTTACCAAAAGAGTTTGGATTGAATAGTCCACAGACATCGGTGTGTATGAGCTCTAGTGGTTTTGTCGCTCTTGATGTCGATTCCTTTGGAAAGCTTTTTCGGAATCGCTTCTCAATTAGACACCCTTCACATAGTTGGTCTGGGTGGTTTATACTTGGCAAGCCTCTCACCATCTCCTTCTTTGACAAATATTCTAGACTACCGAAGTTGAGGTGTCCAAATCATAGATGCCATAGCCATAAAGAGTCGGTATAGCAGGCCTTGAGACACTTTGCGACATTATTTTTAATGTTCAAGAGGAATATTCTATTCTTTGACATAGGCACCTTAGCGATCAATTTATGCCCACAATCTCTTAAGAAAAGACTATGTTCTTTCAAGTGGATGTCATATCCTTTCTCCAATAATTGTCCCAAGTTCAAAATATTATTTTTCATGTTAGGAACATAGTAGACGTTGGATATGAATTGATGACTCCCATTCTTTAAGCGTATGAGAATTTTACATTTGCCTTTGACCGGTATGTTTGAGTCATCTCCAAATGAGACATTTCCAGTTGTCGCTTCATTGATCTCTATGAACATGCTTCGATCGCCCCACATGTGGTTACTTGCGCCGGTGTCGAGGTTCCACTTGTTTCTTTTCTCTTCAAATTGGTTTTGGCACGCGAGCAACAAAGTGTCTTCTTCTCCACATTTTTCTTCTACAATGTTAGCTTTCTCCACAACTTTCTTTGAGAATCTACACTCAGATGCATAGTGATCGATTTTTTTGCAATTGAAGCACTTGATTTGTAACTTGTTGCACCTTGACCATGAATTTCCATTTCCACGACCTCTTGTTGCTTGTGGATTCCAACTTCTTTCTCCATTGTTGAAGTTGTTGGAGTAGTTGTTATAACTTCCTCTTCTTTCTCCTTCATGTCCTCGTCCACGTCCACGGTCTTGGCCATGACCGCGTCCTCTTTGACTCTTGTAACTCACATAGTTTGCTTCCTTTGCATTGAGTTGTAGTAGTTGTTCCATAATCTCCTTTTGTTTAGTTTTTCTCTTTTGTTTTTCTTCGTATGCTTGTAAGGAACTAATAAGTTGCTCAATAGTCATGGTGTTTAAATCCTTGTTTTCTTCAATGTTGGTAACAATGAATTCAAAGCTTGGATTTAAAGTGCGAAGTATTTTCTCCATGACTTTCACCTCATCAACATCTTCACCATTTCTTTTAAGTTGATTGACTACGGACAATACTCGAGAAAAATAATCAAAAATTGACTCAGACTCTTCCATAAATAAACGTTCAAACTCACCTCTAAGAGTGTGAAGACGAATCTTTTTCACCTGCTTCACTCCTTTGTTGCAAGTTTGAAGCTTGTCTCATGCTTCCTTGTTCGTCGTTGCATTGGAGATCTTCTCAAATGTATCTTCATCCACCGATTGATAAATGAGGAATAGAGCTTTCTTGTCTCTCTTTCTTTACTCCTTTAATGTCTCCTTTATACCTTGGCTTAAGGAGGCTTCATCTTGCTCCTTGAAGCCTTTCTCAACGATATCCCACACATCTTGAGCTCCTAGTAGCACCTTCATCTTGATACTCCAATTGTCATAGTTGTTCTTTTTGAGCATCGGCATTTGAAAAGGGAAACCTCCATTCGCCATCTTTTGAGGACCTTCAAGCTCTGATGCCACTTTGTTGGAAATAAGACCTTTTGTGTTTAGGAAAAGTGTGTGGGAATAGTAGAGGCTTAAAGAGAAACTTGATAGGTAGAAGAATTATTTATGGAAGAGAGAATTTTATATTTTTCTTGATGCAAAAGTGTAGAATTACATCTCTATTTATAGTACTCTAAGGAAAACTCTAGACACACTAATTCTAGAGAGTTCTCAACTCTAGGAATTCCAAGAGCATTCTAGAGAATATTACAACCCTAAGAAATATCTAGACACTCTAAACATTACAAGAGTTTTCTAGAAACATTAATTAAAATTACCTAAGTCCAAAATGACTAAGTTCAAAAATCTAAATAATATGTTTAGGCCCAAATCAAGTTTAATCTTTCAACACTTTCATCTCTTTTATTGAAAATCAATTTTCAACTACTTTAAAATGTTTAAGGAGTGATAATAGGTCTGAATTTTTAATGCACAACTTTTTCAATTAAGAGACATTTTCACCAATGTTCTTGTGTTGAATTCCCTCAACAATATGGCTTGGTTAAAAGTAACAATCAACATATTTTAAATGTGGCTCGTGCTGTTTCCTTTTAGACAAACCTTCCCAAATTTTTTTGGCACTCTTTCATACAACATTCAGTGCATTTAACTAACAGACTCCTTTCTACTTTACTCAATTTCTTTTTTCCTTTTCATATTTTATATAACAAACCTCGTACATTATTACATCTTAAAATTTTTGGTTTTCTTGCATATGTATCTACTCTTCTTGTTAATAGAACTAAGTTTGATCCTC